TGCGCTGATCCGAAGGCAGGAGCCAGGTACTTCTCCTGGTCTCCCATGAGGGTGCAGGGCCCAAGTACTTGGGCCATCCTCCACTGCACTCCCTGGCCACAGCAGAGAGCTGGCCTGGAAGAGGGGCAACCGGGACAGGATCCGGCGCCCTGACCGGGACTAGAACCCGGTGTGCCGGCGCCGCAAGGCGGAGGATTAGCCTAGTGAGCCGCGGCGCCGGCTTTTCTCTCTATTTTTTAAGATCTTCCAATTTTTCTACAGGGAATATTAGTTCATTTTCTGCTACAAAAATATAAATCCTTATTCATGTTCTAAAATCACTCATTCAATGGAAACATACTGATACTTTGCAGGTTCCTAGGATGGCAGAGGCAAATGGCACTGGAAAGATGGTGGGGACAGGATGGCACAGCTAAGATGGTAGAAGCAAGGTGGCTGAAGATGTGTGATGGCACAGGCGAGGCAGGGCAGAGGAGACGCTATTCTCACACTCAGTGTCCCCAGCTGAGTCAGTCTACCCCACTCCCCTTACCACATCCACCCAGTCCAATCCAGGCCTTGAGGCTACTTCCCCTGTGCTTCTCATTTACTGCCTAGCACTAACTCTCATCCAATTAATCAACCCAACAAACCTTAAGCACCCACATCAGGTCCACGGGGCACAGCAGATGCTGAAAGATGGAGGTGGTATTAAAAAGAAAAAGTCTGGGGCCAACGCTGTGGCGTAAAGCCGCTGCCTGCAGTGCTGGCATCCCATATGGGCATCGGTTTGAGTCCTGGCGTCTGCATTCCCAATCCAGCTCTCTGCTATGGCCTGGGAAAGCAGTAAAAGACAGCCCAAGTCCTTGGGTCCCTGCACCCACGTGGAAGACCTGGAAGAAGCTCCTGGCTCCTGGCTTCAGATTAGCACAGCTCCGGCCGATGCAGCCAATTGGGGAGTGAACCAGCAGATGGAAGACCTCTCTCACCCTCTCCTTTTCTCTCTGTGTGATTCTGACTTTCAAATAAAATAAATCTTTAAAAAAAAATCTAAGACACGGTACCAGTCCTTAGAAAGTCCATCATCCAGGTCGGGACTAAGAAGATGAACCCATGAAGGCACAAGACAGCAGGCCAGGGGTACCAAGGGCCACTGATAACAAAGCTTCAAGCAACTCAGCGCAGGAAGAGTACAGACCGTGTGGCCTGCCACTACCCCCACCCCCATGCAATGACTGTGAAAGGATGGACACCACGGAGAAGAGGACAGCAAAGCAGAACAACCAACATGTTCCAGGCAGGGGCTGACCTATGGAGGCTGAATATCCTAAGGCCAACGTGGGACATCTCAGCAAGATGACGAGCCTGGCTGAAGGAGGCAGAGGCCCTAGGCAACAGGAGGAACGCAGGAGATGCCCACTGGAGCTGGCTGGGCAGACGCGGGCTGCCAGCCTTCGATGATGCCTTGGGAGACAGGGCGCCCCTGGAAGACTGTGTGTGTGGACCGCTTGGGAGTGGTGCTCCCCACGCATAGCTGGAACCATCCTGTGCTCAGAGACAGGGTGGAGTCATGACAGCCACAGGTTCTTAAATAAGGGCAGAGGCAGGGTGTCAGCTAGGGGCGGGCCCAGGGCAAAGCATGGGAGAGAGAGAAAAGGGCTCATTCATGTCATTGATTGACATGTCCGTGCTTTCTCCTGCATCCCACCACCTCCACCTTCTAAAGCAGCACGAAGGAAAACAAAATGCTAACAGCGACAACCTGCCACTGCCTTACAAAAGGCAAGACAGCAAGACCTTGACACCAAGTCTCAGCAAAGAACTCTGGGGAAGTCTGGGTCACCTCCCGGCCCTCTGTGGGCCACTCACGGACCACCCCAACAAGACCTGTACCATCATCGAGAGAGCCCTGAGGTTGGCTGTGCTCAACAGCCAGGTGGTGGAGCGCTCCAAGAATCTCTCCACTTGAACTTCGCGGGAGTGCACAAGATAGGTTTCAGAGACCCAAGCAACTCTTTTCTTTTTTTGACAGGCAGAGTGGACAGTGAGAGAGACAGAGAGAAAGGTCTTCCTTTGCCGTTGGTTCACCCTCCAATGGCTGCCACGGCCGGCGCGCTGCGGCCGGCGCACCGCACTGATCCGAAGGCAGGAGCCAGGTGCTTTTTCCTGGTCTCCCATGGGGTGCAGGGCCCAAGCACTTGGGCCATCCTCCACTCCACTCCCTGGCCACAGCAGAGAGCTGGCCTGGAAGAGGGGCAACCGGGACAGAATCCGGTTCCCCGACCGGGACTAGAACCCTGTGTGCCGGCGCCGCTAGGCGGAGGATTAGCCTGTTGAGCCGCGGCGCCGGCCCCAAGCAACTCTTAAAATGCCAGCTCCCACCCCCAGCTTCCTGCCGTACATTCAAGGCTCTGTTATAGATGAGGAATAACGAATGCCAAGGTCAAGGTTTCCTTCCCCTCCAATGGCAATGGATGGAGACGCAGGTGCAGAGCAGGAGGACACAGGACATCCAGGCCCCACCTCCCCAGGCACTGGGAGCCCCTCCTCCCTTCTGCAGCCTCCCCCGGAGCAGGCAGCCCAAATGCCAGAACAGATGGGACCTGTGTTAGCAAAACAAGCTCAGGCAAAGGACCATGCACTTGGGGGCGGGTGGGGTGGAGAGAGGGAGGGTCTCTCGGTTTCACAACTTCTCCCTGCTCTTTTCCTCCAGGCTTCATGTCATTACAAATTACCCTGAGCCGCCAAGAAGATAACATCTGCCTAGTCCCAGCTTGAATGCCTAGCCTGCCCAGGAAAAGCTCTCCACTGGGTCTTCCTGCCAGCTCTCCTCCTTTGAGGCTCCAAGTATAAAAAAACTCAGCCTTCCCATGCCACAGCCCTCGACTCCAGCCGTCTGGGAATAGCTGCCGTGGCAGAAGGGCACAGAGAAGGAAGCTGGAGCCCTCCAGCCCATCGGAGGGAAGCTATGGGCTGCTCCGGAGTCGGGATCGGATGGGTTTCCTGCCTCGCTCTGCCTGATGCAGGCAGGTGGGGCATGGCTGCAGCCCCAAGCGTGCTACAGAAGCCAATTCTCAGGCTTTAGCCCACACGCCTGCTGAATCAGACTCCGGCCAGTGGGACCCAGAAATCGCTGTCTCTGAGCCGGCGCCATGGCTCACTAGGCTAATCCTCCACGTTGCAGCGCCGGCACACCGGGTTCTAGTCCCGGTCGGGGCACCGGATTCTGTCCCAGTTGCCCCTCTTCCAGGCCAGCTCTCTGCTGTGGCCCGGGAAGGCAGTGGAGGATGGCCCAAGTGCTTGGGCCCTGCACCCCATGGGAGACCAGGAGAAGCACGTGGCTCCCGGCTTCGGATCAGCGTGGTGTGCCCGCCGCAGCGCGCCGGCCGCGGCGGCCATTGGAGGGTGAACCAACAGTAAAGGAAGACCTTTCTCTCTGTCTCTCTCTTAGGGGTACATCCGGGGCAGGGATTTGTGCTTGGAACTCCTCTAGGAATGAATGGTGGGGTTTTGCTTCATTCTGGGCCTCCGTTTTCAGACACACGTGTGCACGACCTCCATGGGCCGTCCTGAGCCAGGCTACCCACTGCAAAGGCAAGTTCTAGGCATCCTCTGGATCCATGTCCAAGAACATTAAGAAAAACCACCATGCCCTTTGGGCGCTCGGAGATCCGACCACATCCTCCCTGGAAGCATCCAGAAGAAACCGCGCCGGAGAGTAAGAAGAGACCGGTCTGGTGTCATCTTTCTCTTTCCTTGTCCCTGCCATCTGCCACCGGGCTGGGATCTCATCTCAGTCTCACGGTTGTGCAGAGAACTGCCTGGGCCTCAAGGGCACACAGGCTGTTTGTGCAGCTCCACAGATTTCTTGTCTCAACACACCTGATCCTCCTGCTTGTTAGGAGGAGTCCAGATAAGTTGGTGCCTACCGGCAGAGAGAGGCGCAGAAGACAGCCAGGCCCGTAACGATGTGGACTCCAAATCCTACAGGGCCACTTCCTCAACCTCCCCTAGCTGTGTTTTCTCATTTCCCATATGGAGATGGGGGGGGGGACCCTCCCTCCCCGGGGAGGTGGGGGGACAGATGTGAATATTCAGTGAGAGTTATATATTCAGAGAGCTGCAGAGTCTGGTCCATGGCAGGGCTTCCTGCAGTTGCTAATATCTTCCTTAACACGACGGCAGGAGCTCAGGATGGGAAGAGGCAGTCTGTGACCAAGTGGTGCATCTGCCTGGGGTATCCTCACGAGCACCCTGGACAGCTGCCTGGCCTCAAGCTGGTAACATCCACTCTGACCTAGGGGACAGCGACTGTCCCATGATCATCAGTCACCACCCCCCGAAAAGCTGGGGCGCATGACAAACCTGCCTTTTCTCCCCAAAGCACTGGGAACAGTGGCCACTAACCGGATGCCACCCCTGGCTCTGTGATTCTGTAAACACCTGTTTCCCTCTGGGAGGTTAGGATGGTGGGTGCTTTGCAGCTCCAAAGGAGAAACCCGGGTGGTCAGACGGGAAGAGTCCTCCTTAAGAGTGCAGGTCTGTTGCGCCCTGCATAGGGAGGACACAGCCACCCCGCGGACTGCGGAAGCGCATTTGCTCCAGGACACGGGGCCTGTGCGAGCAGACATTTAAGCCGTCCGGTCTGCTCCCTCCCCAGCCGCTCGCCACCCCAAGCCGCGCTTAGAGAGCGGCTTCCTCCCTACACGTCGGAGCGCGCCTCTAGTCCTGCGCGCTCCGGCTGGACTTCCCGAGCCCGGCACGCGGGGATCCAGAGCCAACTCCACCGACCTTTCCAAGATAAAAACCAAACTTACAGCTGGGGCACGGAAAAGCAGCAGGTAGCTGATCTCTCCTGCAGCCCCCAGCCTCCTGCCCGAGCCGGGTTAGGGAGGGTCAGAGGGAACGCGCGCCAGCCAAGAGGCTCGCACTCCCGGGCAAAGCGCGCAGGGTCCCGGGGCTCACCCAGCGCCCAGGGCCGCCCGCGCCGAGCCCCGTGGGCGCCCGCCGCGCGTCCTTACCATTCAGCTGCCGGTAAACGATGTCCTCGAGCAGCGAGAGGCGCTTCAGGACGGCATCCTGGATGGGGCTGGCGCTGTGCGCGCTGAGGTTGGCCGCCTCGGCGCGCGGCCGGATCTCATGGAAGGCGTCTCCGTTGCGCACCGCGATGGGCCGGCACTTGGCCAGGAAGAGCACGAAGCCGGCCACGGCGATCAAGTTCAACACCAGCAACACTTTGACCCTTCTCAGTGAAGCCATCAAACAACCCGGCCGGTCCTCGCCCCGGACCCGCGGCCCCCGACCTCGCTCGTGGGCTCCGGCGAGGCGCGCGGGGCAGCCGGGGGCCGTGTGAGCCTCACACACCCGGTAGCCGGCGAGGCTCCCTCAGCCGCTGCCGGCCTCACAGCGCGGACGCTCGGGCAGCAAATGCGGCTGGGAGGACGGGGCGGTCGCAGGCAGAGCGCAGTCGCTCAAATCCAAGTCCCGGGTCTGCAGAAGAGCGCGCGATCCCTTGTAGGTAGGTGTCTCAGCGAAAGGCCGGGCCGGCGCGCCGAGGGGAGGTCTCTCCTTGGCGCCAGCTAGGGGTCCGCCTCTGGACCTCGGGCTGCAGGCGCCTCGGATCCCAAGTCTGCCCGGGAGCCGCGGCGAGAGCGGCGCGCAGGTGCCCGGCACAGAGCTCGCCGGCCGCCGGTAGCGGAGCGCGCCGCGCCTCGGGCCGCACAGCCACCACCCTCGCCCGCAGGCGGCCGTCGCGGGGCGCGGGGCTCTCTCTTCAGCCGAGGACCGGCTCCCCAGGGCGGGCGCCTTTGTTCCGCTCACCAGCCGGCTCCATCAACGCCGGGCAGAAGGAAAGCTCGCGCCGGGCGCCCGCATCCTCGCGGCTCCGCAGTCACGCTTAAGTCTCAATGACTCTCAAAGTGGAGACAGCACTCGGGCAGGGGCGGGCGCCAGGGAAAGGGGGGGGGGGGGACCGAGCGCGACGTCCTCTCTCCGCCCGCGGCGCCGAAGGCCACCCCCAACCCCGCCGGCAAACTCACCAGCGCGCACAGCGCCGCCGGCTCCCGGACGCCTTCCAAGTCCCAACACCCTGCGGGGAGCCCCCCGGGGCCTGGCGCGTCCGGAGGCAGGCGCGCGGACCTCAAAAGTCACAGCAGTTCTTTTTTTTTCCCCCCCCTTGGCGGAACGTCGCGCGGAGCGCGGCGGGCAGGGACGCGCGCCGGCGCACCCTCCGCCGGCCAACGCGGGCCGCGCCGCTCGTCCCGCGCGCCCCAGGACGCCGAACGCCGTCTCCCAATTGGCGGACGCAGTGACACCGCCGCTGCGGCAGCGAGCGCCCGCACAGCCCCGGGGCCGGGGAGCCCGGAGGGGACGCGCAGGTGGCGGCGGAGGGCGGGGCGCGGCTCCGAGGGGAGCGGCTGCGGCGCCAGCTCCTCCTCCTCCTCCTCCTCCGCTGTCGCCGCCCGGGCCACCCTCTCCCCGCGAGCCTGTCGGCCGCCGCCGCCGCCCGCAGGCTGCCGGGCGCACAGCTCTGCCCGGCTCTCCGGCTCGTGTGCGCGCACCGGAAGGTTGGGGCGCGCTGGGAGCGGGGCGCGCGCGGGGCCGGGGGCCGTCAAGTCATTCCGGCTGCGGCGGGCGCTGGAGGGGCGCGCCGGCGCTCAGCACTCCCCGGGCGGGCGGGTCGCTTCCATCCCGGCTGGCGATGAAGACGTCCCTTTTCTGTGTGCTCGCAGCTCCGCGCTGCGTGGCCGGGATGGCTAGAGGGAAAATCTGGCCTGGACACTCGGATTCTGCCACTTTTCGGAGCCAGACCCGGGGCGTTGGCGGGCCGGGGAGGATTCGCAGGGTCACGCCCGCGGTCTCCGTGTCCGCCCAGGCTGCTGTCCGCAGGTCACTGTGCGAGGCCTGCTTAGCTGGTTACTGCTGTTTCCCCGAACGCTTCCTGTCTTCCAAACCCAGGAACTCCGACCCCTGGAATCCCAAACCCCTCATGGATCCCTGTCATTCCTTGGGCCTGAAAAAAACAAACAAAAAGAACCGCAAGCAACAGACTAATAAAAATTATTCAATGAAGACCTAGGAGTCCGGTGGTATCCTTGCAATTTCAAAGCCCCCCCCCCCTCCGCGTGTTTGTGTTTTGGTTTGTCTGAGCTTTGTTTTGACTTTGTTTTGTTTTGTTTCTTAAGTTTGGGGATTTAGCATACAAAGTGCATTTTAGAAAAGAACAGCCCCTTTATTTCTTTCTCTTGGAACTCTGTGCCTGGGTTCCGTGGTGTTCCTTAGGGTGCCTTTGCTTTGTCTGATCTACAAGAAAGTGGATACAAACCAGTGACTTGGAAAAGCCGCAACAAAAGCCCCAAGGGAAAAGGGAGGATTTTTTTTTTTAAAGAATATATGTTTGACAATAAGGAAGATGGACAGGGAATTAAAGGGTTACTGAGCAGTTCTGGAATGACAGGTGCTGGTCAGGTGGGGCAGCCACTGTATCTCTGCGGATACCCAGGTCAGTTAGGTGGTGATAGAACCATGCTGCAGATGGAAGCCGGTTTCGGGGTAGAAAAGTGTGATACCTTACCTTACCCCTCATAAGGGGTCATGATCAGCACTCCTATAACAGGTGCAAGCGTGAACAAAGAGGGGGCCTGGATTGTGGGTTCAGCCACCAGCATCTCCTATCTGAGCACCAGTTCAGCCCTTGCTGCTCGGCTTCTGATCCAGCTCCCTGTAAGTCAGAAAGCAGCAAATGACGGCCCAAGTATTTAGGCCCCCGCCACCCACATGAGAGACCCGGATGGAGCTCCTGGCTCCTGTCTTCCACCTGGGCCAGCCCTAGCTGTTGTGTCCATTTGGACAGTGAACCAGTGGATAGAAGATCTCTCTGTCTCCCTCTCTCTCTCTCTCTCTCTCTCTCTCTCTCTTCTTTCAAATGAATAAAAAAAAATTTTAAAAATGCAACATTTATTTTAATTAAAGTTTTACAAAACATGCATGAGACCCTCAAACAGAAAGATGAGCGGGGTGGGGGGGCTGTTTTGGGTTGGAAGAAGATTGGACAGCTGTGCTGAAATGTGATTGAATGGGAGGGTGTGTGCTGATGGTCACAGCTCAGGGAGAAACACAGCCAGGCTTTTGCCCCAGAGTCTACGGACTCCCCGTAACCTCTGCAGTGCATATGGGTGCACACACACGCTCTCCCACTGCCCCCACCCTGCACGCCCCAACTCTGGATCGCTCTCACATTCTTCTCTCTCCACCCATGCACCCAGGCAAGGAAGTGCGCCCAGAAATGACCTCATCATCTCACAGCTGGCTTGGGGACATGACCCATGAAGGGGGTCCTAACTAGCTGGGCCCTCCATTCTGCTCGAAAACACGGCTCCGTGTCCCTCATCAGCTGCTGTCCCCTGTGGCTTTCTGGGTCGTCTTCAGGAGTCCATGACTATTCCTTAGTCAGATACAAAAATGCACGGGTCTTCCAAGGAAAAGACTCACCATTTCCCATGAAGTTCTCAACGCTGTCGGTGACCCTAAACATTCCAGGGCCTGCCTGGTGCGTGTGATAGGGACGTCTCTCAGTATCCACAGGGAGTTTATTCCATGGCCCCTACAGATACCCAAACTCATCATGCTCAAGTCTCCTAAGTAAAATGGTGCAGTACTTGCATATACCCTATGCGCATCCTCCATCTACCTGTCCCTGGTGGGGAACATCCAGCCCATAATATAAGGCTCAGGAAGTCATTTGGTCTGGCCCTGCCAAGCCAATCACATGCAAGTCTCAAAAGTCAATACATCTGGCCGGCGCCGCGGCTCACTAGGCTAATCCTCCGCCTAGCGGCGCCGGCACACCGGGTTCTAGTCCCGGTCGGGGCGCCGGATTCTGTCCCGGTTGCCCCTCTTCCAGGCCAGCTCTCTGCTGTGGCCTGGGAGTGCAGTGGAGGATGGCCCAAGCGCTTGGGCCCTGCACCCCATGGGAGACCAGGAAAAGCACCTGGCTCCTGGCTCCTGCCATCGGATCAGCGCGGTGCGCCGGCCGCAGCGCGCTGGCCGCGGCGGCCATTGGAGGGTGAACCAACGGCAAAGGAAGACCTTTCTCTCTGTCTCTCTCTCTCACTGTCCACTCTGACTGTCAAAAAAAATAAAATAAAATAAAATAAAATAAAAAATAAAAAAAAAAGTCAACACATCTATAATCGCAGGCTAACTTTTAAGTTGATCATTCCGTATGGTCCCCCCAAGGATGTTTTTTCTTCTTGGCAGAAGAAAGGTTTGCCACCCCACCCCACCCCCCACTCCCTTATAATACTTAATACAATGCAAATGCTATGTAAATAGTTGTTATGCGGCATCATGTAGGGAAAAATGACAAGGAAGCATCTGTTCACGTTCAATACAGGGCCTGGTTTTCTTTTCTCAGACATTTTCCAGCCGAGGGTAGTGGAGCCCACAGGTGCAGAGGGCCACGCTATACGCAAGAACGGCACCGGCTGAGTGGTTGTCATACGCCAGCCGCTTCTGAGAGCGGTGGCGACAGGGCACCCACGGCTGGTGGAACACAGGTAGCTCACAGATTGTGTAGAAGGAAATTCTGCCCTAAAAGAAAAAAATAATGTGCTGGGACCAGCGTGTGGCACACCCAGGGCTAAGCCGACTTTTCTCACACCCAAATGAGCATCTTTGAATTTCATTTTCCATGAACTTTTTGTAGTCCCCTCTGCTTCAAATGGGTGCAGGGCCTGCTCACCTAATCCTGTTCCTGTCATCAAGGACCAAATCAGTTCCTGATTTTTAAAATGGGATGTCTTCAAAAATATTTTCCAATCATAAAAGCCTGGTTAATGGGGCTGGCGCTGTGGTGTAGCAGGTAAAGCCGCCGCCTGCAGCGCCGGCATCCCATATGAGTCCAGCTACTCCTCTTCCGATCCAGCTCTCTCCTATGGCCTAGGAAAGCAGTGGAAGATGGTCCAAGTCCTTGGGTCCCTGCACCCACATGGGAGACCCAGAAGAAGCTCCTGGCTCCTGGCTTCAAATTGACTCAGCTCCTGTCATTGCAGCCATAATGGGAGCGAACCAGCAGATGGAAGACCTCTCTCTCTCTCTCTCTCTCTCTCTCCTTCATTGTGTTACTCTGACTTTAAAATAAATCTTAAAAAAAAAAAAGATACAAGACTATGAACAGAAAAAAATGTTTAAGAAAACCTGGCTAAACAGTCAATTTTTGATCTTTTAAAAATATTTTTTAAAAATGATTCATTTACTTGGGCAACAGAGAAGGAGTTCCTAAGTGCTGGTTGACTCCCTCATCTACACCACCAAATGTCCGCAAAAGCTGGGGCTGGGCCAAGGCTAGAGCCAGGAGCCAGAAACACAATCCAGGTCTCCTAGGTGAGGCAGAGGCCATGACCAATGCTTCCCGGGGTCTCCATTAGCAGGAAACTGGATTCAATAACCACAGCAAGGACTTGAACTCTGTGTGGGGCATAGATCGTCTAACCTCTAGGCTAAACGCCTACCCCCAAAAGCTCTTTCAGGGAGGTTTGCCTGTCATTTAGCAAACTTGAAAGGAAGGAGACTGATGTATCTGTCCGTAGATCACTAAGGATTTCTATTCCAAATATGTTTCACTCCCCAACCAGGACCCGTATGTCACATACCTCTGCCGTGATTCCATTCCCTTTGTTTGCCTGTGAAAAATCTACTGCATCTCTCAGGGTGGGTAGTATTCAGTCTGGTGATTAAGATGCCCATGTCCCATAGCAGTAATCATGTATGCAGTTGTTTCTCTTGCACTTGCTTAGTGGAACACATTTGACTTTTGGGGGCAGACACCAAGATAGAAGAGAGCAAAAATTAAGCGCAGGTGTTAGTTAGTTTTTTTTTTTAATTTATTATTTATAAGAAAGTCAGAGTTACACAGAGAGAGAAAGAGAGGCAGAGAGAGAGAGAGAGAGAGGTCTTCCATCTGGCAGTTCACTCCCCAGACGGCTGCAATTGCCAAAGCTGTGCCAATCCAAAGCCAGGAGCCAGGAGCTTCTTCCGGGTCTCCCACATGGGTGCAGGAGCCCAAGGACCTGGGCCATCTTCTACTGCTTTCCCAAGCCATAGCAGAGAGCTGGATTGGAAGTGGAACAGCCGGGACTGGAACTGGTGCCCATATGAGATGCTGGCACTGCAGGTGGTGGCTTTACCCACTATGCCACAGCATCAGCCCCAGTAAGTTGTTTGTTTTTTTTTTTTTTT